AAGTAGAAACTTGGTAATGTTTCTCTCGGCTCTTACGTCTTCTCTCACGGCTTAAGCTAAAGGTAAGACATAACATGCACTTAGGTTAATTTTGATGACATAAAAATCATTACAAAAATCAACCCACATGCTATACATATGAGCAACTTGGAGATAAGGCTAGCATGAGGTGTCTTAAGAGAGACACGTGGCTTTAAGATGGGCTTTGGTGGAATTTTATGAGCTTCATCATCCCCTTGAGGTGTCATCACCGCAAAAATCCTTCTAATAATATTACTAAGTGCACTATCATAATTAAAGCTAAATAATATAGCTTTATAACACCAAAAATGATCCTTAGTGCATGATGACTTATACGCTTGCGCAAGAATTTAAACCTAGTGAAAAGAAATTGGTCCATATACAATAAACCAATTAATATATGCTAAATTATTTGGACAAAACTAAATATATGACTAAACTTGGTAAATCTTGCATTACTACATAGACGGCGCATGAAAATTACTCACAATGCTAAGTATATTGTTTGTAGTATTTTTGGGCATGTGGTAACCGAGCTACCCAATTCGGGTCGTTCTCAAAGGAAGACTATTCGGACACGGATTCAAACAACGATCGACTCACACAAGAAAATAAAATAAAATTCCTAAACACTCTACTCGCATGATTTGGAGTTCGAATTAAGCTAAAAACGTAATTTAAGCCAAAACGAAAGCAAGATTCAAACTTTATCGCAAGCAACACCTCAAATTGCAAGAAAAAAAAATAAAAAGAGAAATAACAAGGTACTCCTAGACCCGAGATGTAAAGAAGGCCCTAATAGGTTCGGGAACATGCAACCAAGCAATAGTCGCTCGTGATCAATTAATCTCTCAATCAATTCTCGCTCACGCAATCAATAACAATATCACATAATCCCTAGCCTACGAGGATGATAGCATAATCGACTCATGGATGTGCATATCTTAACCCTAGAATAACTCAATAAGTAAAGACAAGCAAGACTAACGAAATCATGAACCTTAAGCGAAGTCTCCACGTCTCTAATGCATCTACGAGAAGAAATAAGCCAAAAAATTGTAATCTTGATGGAGAAATATTACAATTAAAAATAGGGTCTTGGAGCCCTTAGAGAGAGAGAAAGAAAACTAGAGAGAGAAGAGTGCAAAAAACTAAAAAGGAAAATTTAGCAAATGAGGAATTCTCTCAAATTACAAAGCAAGATGTCTATTTATAGCTACACCACAAACACACACTAAAATACACACATTTAATGAAGCAAACTCGCAGGTTATGGCAAACTCGCGGGCAAAAGTGGAATTTCGTGAGCAACTTTCGCGGGCAAGGCAGCACGGCACGGGACTCGCGGGCTAGGGGCTGTTCGCGGGCGCGGGCGTGGACACTCGCGGGCAGGAAGAGGCGCTGTTGGCTGGGACTCGCGTGCTAGCCACTTTTCGCGGGCGCGAATCTTCGAACTCGCGGGCAAGGGACGCATTGGGAGAGAACTCGCGGGATAGGCCCATTTCGCGGGCGCGAAAGGATTTCCGCGGGCACTGGGCAGCAGCTGGGGCTAGAACTCGCGGGTTAGGGCTTTTCGCGGGCGCGAATCCGTTTTCGCGGGCTGGAAATGGTCCTGTGACCTCTTTATGCTCGATTCACTCTAACTTCTCGCACGCTTCTCCGATTGACTTGAAACTTTGACCCACGGTTCTCAAATCTCGTTCTCCTCGTCTTGAAATGTGTAAATGGGTGTCACCATTCAATTTATGAATATTCTCGGAATGGCTTGGAAAAAGTTCGTATGACTAGGACATGGTTCGGACGCCTCGAAAATGTCTCGGAAATGGCTCGTCTTCTCAAACTCGAATATAGTGGACCTAAACAACACCAAAAAGACAAGAAAAGTACGCCGAACCACAAAAACACAATACGATAATAAAAATGCACGAAACACGATAAAATGGATCGGTCGACACTAAAACGAACCTAAAAACACTAAACTAAAACACATAAAACACACGAAAATAAGCACAAAAACACAATAAACAACTCCCCCACACTTAACTCTTTGCTTGTCCTCAAGCAAACAAAACAACAAGTAGCTCGAAAAGAAAAATCGAATGGTCCAACATTAACGAGCATGCGAAATTAGACTCTCATTATCATCCGGTTATCCCTAAAATCAAAATCCAATCCGAAAACACAGTCCCCACGTAGCAAATCCATACAAAACAAAAATCCATATCGAGTTATTCTACACATGATCACTCGATTCACACTCCCTCGTCTACATACACGTGCAAAAACTATAATGATCTACTAAACGTGAAATGATAAGCATGAGACCAATAAGCCAACTCCCTTCTTTTTCTTTTTCTTTTTCTTTTCTTTTTTTTTTCTTTTTTTTTTTATTTAATGAGCTACATTTTCCAAATGAAAGTCGTTAGGACGATTATTACCTAGGTTTAACCTCGGGGTTTGTCCCCGAGTTTCCTAGGCCGGTTTCCTGTACTCCTTAAGCCGGTTTATCTAGAAGACTAACCGAGCCAAGAGGAGCCTAATCCTTCCGACTCTCACGAACTCATTTTCGTGAGCTTCTTTCCAAACGAGGTTTCCGGACGAGATGATCTAGGTTTAACCTCGAGGGGTTTCCCCGAGTTTTCTAGACCGGTTTCCTGGGTTCATTATCCCAATACACGAAGTGGCTCGGAATAAGAGGAGCCTAATCCGTACTTCTCCGCGAACTCACTTTTTATTCCAATTTTTTTTTTTCGAAGGGAGTGGCACACAAGAATACATCAATAATACAATAACATAAACATCAATCATCATCAAGACGTACCACAAGTGCATAGATAACACGTTACAACGATAATCGAACATAAGGAAAGCATGCCTCAAGACAATCAATCAAGAAAAAAAAAGGGACAAAACAATTCCGTGAATCCACATGCGGGTTCAAATGTCAATGAATCATCATTTAACTTTAAGGAAACCGTCCAAGTCATCATCAAGTACATAAAGCATGAACATTAATAGTGAAAACAATCAATAATATCGACTCACCACTTAGCTATCTCGAATCTTGAACAAACATTGAGCATCATGCGGGAGAGGTAACTCAAACACATAAAGACAACAACAAAACCAGTCCACGACTCGACAAATACGAAAAATAAGGCACCAAAAACGAGAGAAATATCACCTAAACATGCATAGTCACGAAAATCCCTCCCCCACACTTAAAACAAAGCAATGTCCTCATTGCTTGACCAAAAAGCATAGGAGAAAGAGCATAATCATATACGTTCAAGTGATAAAAACTAAAATGAAACAAAATAAACAAATAAACGACAAAAAGAAAAAAAAAACACGAAGACACACAAGAAACAAAGAAGGAAAAAAAAAAAGAAAATAGGAAAAGAAAATGTGTACTCTACACGGTGGTGCTCCACCGTGTGTCTAATGGTGTTTGTCCGTTGGGAATATGAGAAATAATCCAAAGGTTCTCGAGTGAAAAACAAAGCCATCCGACCAATTGAACAATAAAAGCATGATGATCCATAAACCCACCGAGCACTATGGCGTTTGAAAGCATAAGAGAATCCCGGCGTCGGCTCCGAGTAAAGGCCACATGTATGCGTCTCGGAGGGATAATAATCGAGAATCCACAAACTCGACGAAGACACACGTAAGCTTGAAAGATCAAAATTCGGGCCTCGAGCCCCATAATGATATTCGCCATGGCATGACCCGATCAACTTTTCAATCAATATGTAACCTCAAGCACAACCGAACACCAATGATATAGTGAAATTCAAATCAAACGCCAAAGTGCACCGCATTTCCCCTAAAACAATCAACAATAACTCCAAACGAGCCTCACACCGAAAGACACTAGCCAAAATCCTCCAAATGATCAATATATACTCACGAGCTCACGATACACCTCCCCCACACTTAATATATGTCA